AGCGCGCGCGGCGCCCGCGACGGCGCCGGCGTCGCGGCCGTCGCCCGCGCGCTCGCGCGCGGCGGCGGCGACGACCTTGGCGACGTCGGCGACGAAGGCCGGCGGCGCCTCGACGGACGTCTCGTCCTCGCTCACGTGCGCGGCGGCCTCGGGCGCCGGCGGCCGCTCGACGGACCGCTGCGCGTCGTACTCCGACGACGCCACGGCCATGAGCGTGAGCAGGTCCGCGGCGGCCGCCGCCGCCGGCGGCGGCGACGACGCGCCGTCGCCGCCGCCGCCGACGCCGTCGTACTCGTCGTCGTCGTCGTCGTCGTCGTCCGACGACGACGACTCGTCGCCGGGCCGCGACGGCGCGACGCGCTTGCGGCCGGAGCGCCGCGGCGACGAGCCCTCGAGCCCGTCGAGCGCGTAGCGAGGCCGCGAGCTCGGGCGGCTCGGCGGCGCGAGGCAGGCCGCGGCGACGGCGAGCGTCGTCGCGGGCCCCGCGTCGCCGACGGCGGGCCGCGGGGGCGGGGCCTCGCGGCCGCAGCGCCCCCGCTCCTCGTTGTGCTCGGCGATGAGCCGCTCGATGGTCCGCTGGTCCCGCGCGTCGAGCGAGCCGAAGCCCTCGAGGTCCTCGACGCGCGTGATCGTCTTCGACTTCTTGCACGCGCGCTTGAAGGACACGAAGGCGCACTCGAGGTGGTACCACTTGGTCTTCGGGCTGTGGCCCCAGCGCACGGACGGCGGCTTCTTGCCGATGCGCGGCTCGCCGGGCCTCAGGTACTCGCGGCAGAGGATCGACTGGCACTTGCTCCGCCCGTCGTCCGCGGCGCCGACGACGTACTTGTTCTCGCCGATGTGGCCCGCGAGCTTGCCGCCGATGCGGCCCAGGCCCTGCTGCGACGCCTCGAGGCCGAGCCGCGCGCAGAGGTTCGCCGTCGCGTCGCCGCGCCGCAGCCGCGACACGGCCGCCTCGGGGTTCTCGCCGCCGGCCCGGCGCCGCTTCCGGGGGGCGGGCCGCGCCGCCGCCGCCCGGGCCTCGGGGGCGCGCGACGCCATGCGCGTCCCGTGGCCGTGCGTGCGGGCGGGGGGCGCGGGCGGCGCGTCCGGGGGCGCGCCGCCGTCGTCGTCGGGCGGCGGCGCCGCCGCGCCGACGTCGGGCGGGGACGCGGGCTCCGGGGCCGGGGCGGTGTCCGCGACGTCGCACATGGGGGCCGGGGGGGGCGGGGTCCGGCCTCGGGCGCCGGCGCGAAAGGGGTAGAGACCTAGACAGTGGCACCTATCTATATTATGTCGGGCAGCCGAGCATTCGTGTTCTCGGATACATACACTCCGTGCAAACACGACGGCTTCGCTGAAGTGAGTGCAAACAAAGCCCGGGCCAGATCCTGCCACGGCAGCAATCCCGAGAGCTCGGCCGCCACTGGCAGAGCGCCCCGACGCTGTGTCAGCATGCCGAAGCTCGCCTCTGTGCTCCTTTTCGCCGCGGCCGCGCACGCCTACGCGCCGCGCGCGGCGCCGCGCGGCCCGGCGCGCCTCGCCGCGACGACAACCGCGACGCCGGAGGTCGACGCGGCGAACCCCTTCGCCATCGTCGGGGAGGACCTCAAGAACATGAAGCAGCGCATCAAGGCGCTGGTGGAGCGGAGCCTCGACGGCGGCGGCGGGTCGTCGTCGAAGAGCGGCGGCAGCCACCCCCTGCTCCAGGAGGCCGCGCGCGAGTTCTTCGAGCGCCGCGAGCGCGCGTTCCGGCCCGCGGTCGTGCTCCTCGTCGCGCGCGCCGTCGAGGGCACGGCCTCGGGCACGACGCTCCCCGAGAAGCAGTGCCTCCTGGCGGAGATCGTCGAGATGATGTGCACGGCGCAGGTCGTCCACGACAGCGTGCTCGAGGACGACGAGGCGGGCTCGACGGGGAACGTCGCGCACCGGACCTACTCGCAGAACGCGGGCAACAAGGTGTCCGTGCTCGCCGGCGACTTCCTGCTGGCGCGGTGCTCCGTGGCGCTGAGCGAGCTCGGGGATCTCGCCGTCGTCGAGCTCATGGCGACGGCGCTCGAGTCGATGGTGCAGGGCGGCGTGCTCAAGGCCCAGGCGGGGCTGGGGGGTTTGGACGGGCTGCTGGACTGGGACGCCTACGTGGCGCGCGTCGAGCTCAAGACGAGTTCGCTCATCGCCGACGCGTGCCGGTCCGCGGCGATCCTCGGCGGCGAGGCGGCCGACGGCGCCGTCGCGGAAGCCGTCTACGCCTACGCGTCGAACCTGGGCGTCGCCTACCAGATCAACGCCGACACCATCGCCTACGTGGGCGCGCTCGAGGAGGGCGGCAACCTCGCGGACCACGTCGCCGCGCCGCCGGTCCTCCTCGCGGCGGCGAAGGACGACGGGCTCCGCGCGGACCTCGGTGCCGCGCTCGACGATGGCGCCGGCGTCGCCGCCGTCGCCGCCCACGTCGACGCCACGGGCGGCCTCGACCGCGCGCGGCGCATGGCCCGCGACTACAGCGACGCCGCCAAGGCCGCGCTCGGCCCGCTGCCGGCGAGCGACGAGAAGGCCGCGCTCCTCATGATGGCCGACTTCGTCGCCCAGGACGACCAGACGGGGCTCCAGCGCGAGAAGTACATCGCCGCCGCCGCCAAGAAGCGACGAGCCGCCGTGAGCGCCCACGCCTAGGCACGCCTCCCCCAAAACTCCCGTTCGTTTAAACACACATCCCGCCGGCCGACGGTGAAGGGAACGGTGGCGCGCTTTTTGTTGTCCACTCGAACGGGGTGGAGGTGTCCAGAGCCCAAACCAGAAAGAGCGCCGCGGCGGCCCCCGGCGCCATGACCGAGTTCAAGAAGGGCGTCCAGTTCCCCATCCTCACGGAGGCGGAGCACAGCGCCAAGGTGCTGCGCCGCTACAAGGGCGCGACGGACCCCAAGGCCGCCCTCTTCGGCGCCATCATGGAGAAGGCCCAGGCCATCGAGGACGCCCTCGAGGCGGGCAACCCGCTGGGCATCTGGAAGCACGCGCGCACGAACCTCTTCATCATCGAGCACGTCACGGCCGACGTCCTCGTCAAGGCGCTCAAGACCAAGGTCCCCGAGGAGAAGCCCACGGCGGCGGCGCTCGAGAAGATCGCCGACTGCGTCATCGACGCGCTGCCCGACGACCACTTCTTCTCCAAGAACGGCGACGACGGCAAGGCCGACAAGAAGCGGGCGGCGAACAAGTGGCTCGCGAAGATCGAGCCCAGCGACGAGCACGACGACACGGAGTGCTACGAGGTCTCGCTCTACATCCACAGCCTCTGCATCGAGTACCTGCGCCGCGAGGGCGACCTCACGCGCTCCGCCCAGCTGTCCTGCTCCGTGAGCCGCGACAACCGCTTCCTCTCCCACGACGAGAACGCGTTCCGGCCGAGCCTCAGCGAGACGTCCGGCGGCGTCTGCGCGACGGCCATGTTCTCCTACTGAGCGCCCGCCGGGGATGCTAAGCGCGTGTGTGGTGCTAGTTGTCGCCCCCCGGGGCGGGGGGGGGGGGGTCGCGGCTGCTCGAGCGGGGAGCGCGCGCGGGCGGCGCGGGCCGCGGGCCTTGGCGCCCGCGGTCCGGCGCGGCGCGCCTAGGCCGCGATGCCGAAGGAGAAGGCGGCGCCGTCGCCCGCGATGTCCGGCGCGACGTCCGGCGCCTCGTCGTCCTCGGCGCCGAAGTAGGTCTCGATGATGCCGACGGCCTTCTCGTAGACGCGCGCGTTCTCGTGGTGCTGCAGGTTCTCGAGCTTCTCGACGCCGTCGGCCTCGTCGACGAGGTTCGCCGCGGGCACGCCGCCGAAGTGGCCCACCTTGAGGATCGCCTCGAGCGCGTCGAGCGCGACGGTGACGATCTTCGCCTCCGCCGTCGCGAGGAGCGCGCAGAGCGGCTTGATGACGCCGTGCTCCACGAGCGCGAGCACGTGGTTCTTGTGCCCCCCGCTCAGGACATTGGACACGACCCACGTCGCCTCCTTCTTCACGTCCCAGTCGCCCGCGTCGAGCTGGTGCACGACGAGCTTGAGGAGCGCCGCGTCCGACGCGACCGCGGCGATCTGCGGCGGCGTGCCCGCGGCGACGTTGGACACGAGCCAGCACGTCTCCTTGCGGATGGCCTTGCGCGGCGACGCGAGCAGCGCGGCGACGTGCGCGAGCACGCCCGCGTCGAGCGCGGCCTGCGTCTGCGCGTCGTTGCCCGTGACGACGTTGCCGAGCGTCCGGAGCGCGGGCGTCACGACCTTGTGCGACGCGTGGCCGAGCAGGGGGCTCAGGGCCGCCGCCGCGCCGTGGTCGACGACGCACTGGATGCGCGCCTCGTCGCCGTCGCTCAGGTACGACAGCGCCCAGCACGCGTCCATGAGCGTGTCGACGTCGTCGGACCGGAGCAGGCCGACCAAGACGGGGATCGCCGGCGCGAGGCGCGCGACGTCGGGCTTGGGCGTGCCGCGGCACAGGTTCGACAGGGACCACGTCGCGTTGCGCAGGAGGCTCGTCGTCGCGGGATTCTGGAGGTTCGCGATGAGCGGCTCGAGCGCGCCCGCGGCCTGTGTGGAACTCAAATCTTCAACCCGACTTCAATGTGTGCGTATGCGACAGTTTCAATGCAAGCTCTTCGGCTGTGCTTCGAGAACTCGACGAGAGCGATCGATTCGTCCAAAAATCAGCCGAATCGACGTCGATTTGACCGAGCTCGAGAGGTTTGAAGTTTTTGCTGGACGGGGCGTTCCACTGGTTGATTTCCACACGGCCCGCGGCGAGCACGGCGTCGCGGCTCTCCGTCGAGTCGCCGGCGATGTTGCCGAGGCACCAGATGCACTGCTCGCGGACGTCGCCGTTGGGCGACTGCATGAGCTGGACCATCGCGGGCACGACGCCCGCGTCGACGACGGCCTGCGTCTTGTCCGTCGACGCGACGTTCGTCAGCGCCCAGGCCGCCTCGAACTGGAGCTCGGGCATGGCGTGGTGCGCGAGGAGCCGCGCGAGGACGGCCACGACGCCCGTGGCGAGGACGGCGTCGACGGGCGGCTGCGGCTCGACGCTCAGGAGCTTGCGCCAGCCCCGCGTCGCCGCGACGACGACCGCCGGGTCCTGCGACTGGATCTCGTTGAGGAGCCGCGGCATGTCCGCGACCGTCGGCCGCTCCGGCGCGGCCGGGTTGCCCGCGTCCGGCTTCGGCGCGAGCACGGGCGCGACGTCGCGCTGGAACGCGCGCCGCTTCGCGAGGCCCTCCTCGCGCTTGTTCTTCCGGATCTGCAGCGTCGTGTCCTCGCGGCGGCGCCGCGCCTGCGGCGGGCGGGGGCTTGGGATGGGCGCATCAGCGGTTTCGGCGGACGCCGGGCCGCGCGGCATCGAGGTTGCACCCCTTCTTGTACTGGTCGCGCCGGTTCAGCTTGTCCACGTTCTCAGCCATGGTTGTCTGCGGGGAGGGGGTGGTTACGGGGTTTCGGTGTGTTCAGACACGGCTAGCGGCGAGCGCGAAGGCGGCGGCGGAGTGTGATGCCAACGACGCAAGACTTAGTGCTCGACGCTCCAACGTGATTCAACGTCGTCGCGCGCCGCGAGGGCGAGGGCTCCCTCGCCCTCCGCCCCCCTGGTTTGTTAACATTGTGAAACACCGAATGCGCTGATGTTCCGGCCCTGATGTTCCGGTAGAGGTCTCGCGGATGTTCCGGCTTCCGGCTCTCCCGGGCCCCTCGGTCGCGTGTTCCGGTTCGCGTCCTCCGGTCGTGTTCCGGCGTGTTCCGGCGTACACGTTCCGGTGTTCCGGTAGATTTCCGGTCGGATTTGTCTTCTCAACTGCCCGTTCACGGCACGCTTAGTGCGCGTCATGAGACAGGGACTTCAGACCTGGGCGTCAGGCCCCTGGGGGCTGGGCATCAGGCCAGGCAAATTACGCACGGCGCCCTACCTAGGGCACAAAAACCAAATTACCCTGAGGCGAGGCACAGGTCGTCGTCAGTGCACAACAGGTGCGCCAAATTTATCTAGAGTAGTAGCAGCATCGTCGCCGCCGCCGCCGCCGCCGCCGCCGCCGCCGCCGCCGCCGCCGCCGCCGCCGCCGACGACGACGACGACGACGACGACGACGACGACGCGCGCGTGGGTATTCGAACCTACACCGGACAGAAAACAGCACAGGGGAGGTCAATATCGTTCGATGTGTCAAACTGTAACGGCAATATATACGGGGCTGCCAAAATCGAATCGGGACGCGCACACCGCAGCCGCAGAGATCGAATCCGACAGCACGAACTCCTCAGACATGTTCCGGCGCGCGCCGCGCGCGTGCGCCGGCAGAAGGCTGTGTTCCGGAGCGCGCGACTCCCGGCGCGTTCCGGCCGTTCCGGCGTACCGGTGCAGCCCC